TTTCTTTCAAGCAGAAGTCATTTTGGGAGGGTCATTTGCGTCCTTTGCTTGCTTGTTTGTTTTTATCATTATTATGTTATTCATGACACACAGAAATTATTTCTTAAAAGTGTGTTTGTAGTATTTGAGTGTGTATACATGTGCTCAAATGTGTGGGAGCACACATATGTATGTAGACATTTGGAGGTCAGGGGTTGATTTGAGATGTCTTCCTGAATTCTTCTCTCCCTTAGCTCAGGCTAGTTACCCAGTTTGATCCAAATCTCCTTTGTCTCCACTTTCTGAGCCCTGGGATTGCAGGTGAGCTGTCATACCTGCTAAGCATTTCCATGATCTGATCTCTAGTCTTTATACTTACACAGCAAGCACTTTACTCATTGAGTCACATTTCCTATCCCCAAACTTCTCTACATTTATTCTCTATACTTTATTATCATTTGCTAATCACTTTCCTTTTAAAAAAAAGTCTCTGTTTGTAGTTGGTAAAAATCAAGTAATACTTGGATTTGTTTTCTAATGTGGAAATGTTTAAAAAGAGATGAAAGCCCAAGTTATTTCTTTCACTTCCTACCTCTGCTGAGAAATTAAACCTGCTTTAGAAAGTCCTAGTTCAGTAACAGTCCATTTCTATTTGGCTTTGTTGGAGAATAAAATGTTCTCTATATGTAATTTCCCCAAATGTCTAACCTTACCTTTTCAAATGCCAATTCTAGTAGATCTTTGTGATTCAAAGGACTTCTAAAATGACCATATCTTCTCCAAGCAAACATTGCTTTTCTCAGAAGCATCCCACTGATTGCCTTTTATTTTACTAGTAGACAGATTAACTTTGTATACATTTTGGCATTTTTATTTCCTTGCGATCTGTCATCATTTTTCTTTAGACTTCCAAGACACACCTGGATAGATCCTAATTATGCTAGGAATGACACAACTGTATTTTTTCAAATTTTTTAAATTTTAATTATGTATGTATGCATATGCAGATATATACAACTATATTTGTTTTTTCTTCTAAAATACATTTTTAATTGAAATAAAATACAATTGTATCACTTTCCCACTGCCAGATGCACTCCCCCAGTCCTTCCCATTCTCCTTCTTCAAGTTGACAACCCCTTTTTCTTTGAATATTATTGTTACATAGAGCTATATTTGGTAAAAGACATCCACACAAAACCTAAGTAAAAGGATTTGACTAAAATGTACAGAATCCAGTGAGAATCATCGCAATTTTTGTTTTTTTGGTCCCAACACGTTTCAATCTTTGTAAGATGATTTGCTGTCTTCGGAAGGCTGCCGTGCTTTCTGTGGATAAGATGATTTTGAAATTGGGCTATAAATATACAACACTTCACACGGAAGAACTCAACCTTCTTTTATGTGTTATTCATCCTTTTAACATTGAAAGTGCTGTGGTTTAAAAAAAATCAAATTAGTCTGTAGAACACTCTTCTTTTAAAGACTTTGCCAATCTTCACCTCAGGGTCTGAGGTAAGGGAGGGAGGAATGCCTGGGTTTGGCTCAGCTGCTGCAGCTCCTCACACGATGGCAGTTCGGGAATGGCTTGCTCAGTGCACGCATCACTTGGCTATCCAAATGAGAAAAGAAACTAAGATGTTTTGGTTGGTGCATTGTTGAGCTTGAGCTGTGTGAGGGAGGCAAAAATCACTCCCACATAAAGATTAATTAGTGATTATTTTGCCGAGAAGCATGATGGGAGGTTGATCTTGACGAATTACTCATTGAACCCTCGTATTACTCCACTTGGACATTGCCAGTGGTCTTTCTGGGTCTTATTCAGTTGAGGTGATGCTGGGGCTTTAGGAGCAGTTGGATCATGGGAGCATGTAGCTCCATGATTGTCACTAAATAAACAAATAAACCTTGAGACCATGTCCTCTAACACTAAGATTTCTTGCTATCATTTATGCCTGTAATATCAATTCTAGCTCTTTTCATTGCACAACAGCCCACATCAAATCCTTCTGAGGTACTTTGAAAAGACAATGCAAGCATTACCATTTATTTAGAAAACTGAACAGACCTCTCATGATCACAACACAAAACACTTTGGCTCTTTCCCATGTGCTGGTATTTAACCTATTTGGGATGGACTGTATATTTGAATTTTTATTTTTCTCTCAAGCATTATTGGTTTTATAGCTTCATTTTTCCACAGTTATAAGTCAAATACAAAATTTACCCCTGATTTTTCACCTATTATTTAATAACTTCATTTTGGAAATTATATCTATAATCTCAGACTCTCTTACCATTTAACCAAAGACCTATAAGTCATTGTCTAAGCCTTGTTGGATGGCCAGACAACTTAAAGATTAAGGCAAATAGTTTGGCTTTACCTTGACCTAGGAAGTACATACTACCATGGAGGAAACTAGCTTCTACTCTTATAAAAAGCAATCCCCATCAGTAGAACTCTACCAGTTTGAAGGTATGATAAAAACTTATCAAGACCAAATTCTCTTAACCAAACATGTCTAGAGAATAATTCATGGGGGAATAAAATGAGACCATATATAGTTAAATCAAATAAAAATGGAGTCTTGTTCCTGAAGGGAAGGTAGGTGTTCACCGTTTATCTTTCTTAACAGAAAGACTTACTAAGGCCTATATGTGATAGTACTACATAAAGAAGAACTTACAAATGCCAGGGTGTGACCAACAATAGGCTGGGCTTCTGAGTAGATGCAGAGAATTAGGCCTCTGACTTTTCTGACTAAAGGCTCCCTGTGTTAACTTTCACTACATTTTTCTCAGATTCACCAAGACTTTAGCTCCAAACTGCCTTTCAGGTTTCTTTGTTTTGGTTGTTTATTGTCTTTTGCTTATTGAGTCACATAATGTCCCAGGCTTAGAGTTGGAAGGCAATTTACTCTCTTTCTACACATCTCTGATTTCCTTCCATCTGTCTGTACTCTGCAATCATCCCTGTGTGCCGTAGCTTCATCTCCGTGCGTGCTAAGTGTGCTGACACTCTTTCCCAGCACACACAGTCGAAAAACAAAGTGAGCAGAAGCGACTGTAAGAAGGGGAGAAGTGAAGCCCCTGAAATTTCACGGCTCAAGGCTTGTTACCAAAGGCGTACTAGGACCCCAAACTTGAGCAAAGCTGTAGGCTATTAGTAACTGTTATGGCCCAGCTTTCCTCAGGGTTCTCTTCCGTTTGGATGTGCTGGCCAACTCAAAAGTAATGGAGGGCATGTGGAAAGGACTGCCACCATTTAGAGGAGCCAGTCTCTCTCTGTCTTGTCAGATGGAAATCTGTAGAAGTGGAGCGCCAGGGAAATACCTGGAAAATCTGTAAATCTCATTCAGTATGAAAGCAATGAAGCGTAACGGCCCTGTATATCCTGTAGCTACGATGCTCAGACATTTGCCTACCCTCATGTCTACATCTGTATGTGATTTTCACACGGATCTTGCAAGGTGTGTTTATTATCTTTACCGTCAGATGTGGGAAGTGCCATGGGTTTAAGTAACAAGATATGGGTCTTGAAAGTTTTTGTTCTTCCTATGTCCACATGAACTTTAGAGTTTTAACCAGAGTGTGTAGATACTCTGATACTTTGTGGCAAAGTTTTGGCTTTGGACAGGGAGTTCCAGTCACACACACACACACACACACACACACACACACACACACACTCACCTTTGTACAGAAAGATTGTTCTATGCAACTGGGAAGATGTTAAAAATTTGGTGCAAGAATGTGTCGAAAGAGGATCAGACAAATGTTACACTTTTGTAATCACCACCAACACATCTGAAGGCCTTTCATGTGCTGTCTTCATTTTGCTCTGCTTTCTCGGAACAGTGGAGGCTCTCCATTTGGGAACGCTAATGGCTGCCCACGGCTACTTCTTCCCCATCTCCGATCACGTCCTCACACTCAAGGATGACGGCACCTTCTATCGCTTTCAAGTAAGTGGAAACATATATTCTTTCACAACAAACCAGAAAGCCTGGCCTGCGTGCCTGTGTGTTTTCAGACCTTTTGGAAACTATTATGGGGTTGTCTTAGACGACTTAGAAAGTAATTCGTGCTCGTGGGTAAGCATCAGAAGCAATCGTAAGATACCGGTGGGAAAAACGTGGAAGCTGAGCTGTGTAATGACTGAAATTATGCTTTAACGTAAGAAAAACTTGAGGAAAATTCATGAGGTGACTTAGTGGAATCGGAGAAAATAGGGAAGACTTCAGCTGTAAATTACACTTAGCAAGCAGGAAGTTGAGGGATATAACTTAACGTATACTCCCACCTGTGCCCCATAGTCAACTTCAGTCCAAACGAACTCTTTTATTACATAAGAAGTATTGCCGATTGGCAAGTGAGTTGTCTGTATGTAGCTAACTCTTCTTGTTTTTGAAGGGAAGTCTTTGCTGTTGCAGTATTACATCTTTATACAGTTCCAATTTTTAGAAACGTTTTTAAGACTGAAAGTTACAAGTAAAATTTAAGACTAACAAACTCATAAATTCTGAAAGAGCAATGGTTCTATGCTTACAAAACCAAAAAAATCTGTCTTTATAATCGATATAATAAATAAAATCTCCATTGTGCAAAACTAAACAACAGTAACTAAAAACAAAACAGCAAAGAAAACCTTACTCAGAAAGGAAATACTGACTATGACACTCTCTTGCTAATTATCCAATTTAAATTATTTTCATAAAATGAATGAGTTCAAAGATGGCCCTCAGTTAGTGATCATGGGTACAACTGACTGCAATTTAAATCTTGTTCTCTGTTCTTGACCTTCCCGGAAATTAGTGGGCAAAGTTTGGATGTCTTATCACGCTTGTAAGTCCTGAGTGAAGGTTACAAAGCACCACTGCACATCAAAAGTGGGAAAAAGAATTTTCGAGAGTTTTAGAACAAAGGGAGGAAGTGGGAGCAAGTGGCTCATTCATTACAGAACTATAAGACTTAGAAGAGGTTATCAAGTTCAATGTGTCTCATGTAAATCTATTAAATTATATTATTACTATTGATTATTAAATGTCGTATGTTGTAATAATCCGTCTACCTTTGCAGTGACATCTAAATGTGGTGGATTAGCAAATCTGTTTATCACTGAATCCTTTAACAGTGAAAGGAACCAAAAACAGAGTCGGAGTGAGCTGGATTCCTACTCACACAGCCTAGCAAAGTGCTTCTTTGTTTGCTCTGTTGGAACAGCTCTAAGGGTAGAAAACTCATGAAGGTTCATCGTGATCTGATTTTATTTTTTTCCATTTTCATGCTGGTTCCAAGCAGCAGAAAGTTCCTGAATTGAACTGAAATTCACCTCCTTGGAAGGAGTTTCGAAACAGGGTTAAATTCTCAGTGTCTCTGTTGAACCATGTAGATTCCAAACATCATTAAGAACCTAAAGAAGGTATAGGACATGCATTTGAGATAAACAGAACCTAGTTTAATTTAATTTAATTGATGTGATGCAATAGATATGTCTAGTACTCTTAGGACATTTTAGAAATGTGATTTTTTTTTTTAGATTTACTGTAAACTTTAAATTGTCTGGTCACTTTCTCTTTGCTAACTGGAACTGAGACCTCTCATGATTCCCTCAGGCAGCTCTCACATGCCTCTCAGGTAGTTAATACGTGGACTGTACAGCTAAAGTCTACTGAGTACTGGCTAGGGTGACTGGAGGAGGTTCTGTCAAAGCAAAGGTGGCTAGCACTGAAAAAGTGACACTCAGGAACTAAAATGTCCCAAAGTCTAGAAAAAAAATCACAGAAATATGTAATAAATAACAATCTATAAAAGTTTGTTATTATCTTATAGTGTCTATTATTATAAGTCAAACATCGTTTTCTGAGAAAAAAATCTTTCATTATTAATGAAAAATGTTGGTTTTATGGCATTTCTCTATAATATCCCAATATAAAATTCAATTTTTATAGGCATCAGATTTTTACTGAGAATATGTTAAAAGAATAAAGAGAAAATTTAAAAGGAGAGCTGAGAACAAAAAGTGTCTAATTGACCATATACCAAGAATAGATACAGTATAAAACTAGTTAATCAATATGTTTATACAAGGATAATGCGCACACGCGTGCGCGCACACACACACACACACACACACACACAAGCCCTCTGAGAGGCTTCTCAAACAGGAGCTCTGCATGAAAAAGTCTTCAGCTGTTTCATTCCTTCATGACTTTACAGGAATCCTTGTCCAATTTAATTTCTAAGAAATCAAATCTTCAAACTTCTGTCTCCCACAGAGTTAAGTGTGATTGGAGTGGTTAAGCATGTTCCACAAACGTCTTCCCACCCCTCTTTTACTCTAGCGATTCAGTCTTTTATCTTCCAGATTCCTACTGTGATTTTGTTCATACGGGCACATTACTATTATCTTCCTTTCTTAGACTGAGGTATTTTCAAAGAAGTAGAGTCTAAGTCGAAATCCTCTGATGGTCAGAACATTCAGAAAGAAGCCATCTCCTAATGACTCCATCATTTCTCCAGAGCATTCTTTTCTACGTCTTTGAATGTCACTCTTTAGAAAGTAAAATTCAGACAGTCGGAAAATGCCCAAAATATGTTCATTGCACACAAGCAATCAGTAAAATTAGTTCATCCATATAGTCAACCCATTATGAACCTCTACAGCCACTGTGCCTCTGAGTTCATGTGCCATCCCAGTTTCAATGGGCTAGAAAAATCCTGAAAAAAATTGTCACCTTAATTATCTTAAGGGTTTTATTCCAGATCAAATTTCCTTTTATATTTCAGTTAGTGTATTTCTAGAATTTTACAGAATCAGAATTCTGGATATTGTTAATCACATTAAAGATACTATTAATTTTAAAAAAATGAACTCTGGTTTGCATCATTTAAAAGTTTACAGCAATAAATGAATGCTTTTATAAGTAAAAGTCAAAGGTTACTATCATCATGTTGAATAATGTTGAAAGTTGCATTACATAATTAACAGATCCCAGCAAATGATTCACAAATTTCAGGAATGATTCTAAACTTTGAGAACCTATGAAAATCAATAAAGAGATATGATGTGCGGAAAGAAGTCACTGTATTTTAGCATGTTTCATTCCAAATCTTGTTGAACATAATATTCTACTTTCAGCCCTCTCTGTGGCTGAAACTAAACCTTTTGCTTGGATAATGCAGTCATACCCTTTATCCTTATGTCCATTGGTGTGAGATACTAGAAAATGAGCACCATTTCAAATCCCTGCTGTTGTTTGGTAAAACTGAAGGCTTAGAAATTGGTCAGTGCATGCAGATGAGAACCCTATAAAAATCTCTTTGCTCGCATTCTCTGGGTTTAAAATGTTTGTTATCAGGAACATAGTCTAGAGAAGCACAGAAGATAAACACAGACTATACACCTGAAAGCCTACTAAATATTTATGTGTATAACCAAGACTCCTCTTTTTTTTTTCCTTCAACAGACACCCTATTTTTGGCCATCAAATTGTTGGGAGCCAGAAAATACAGACTATGGTCAGTGCAATGGTCTTTGTTTTGTCCTTAACCATTTATGTGTCGGTTTACCAAGTAAATGAATTCTGTTGCTTTTATTAATGAAAGAGGAAACCACCATTCTAGGTATGGATCAGTGATGATAACACCCAATTATGTATGCCTTCATTTGGCAAGTCACCAGGCTTGATGGCAGCTCTTCCATAGTAGAATGTGCTCCGTTAAAGAAAAGCTCCTAATTATATTGCAGTGCTGAAACAAGCCTCAACTGTTTAGGATTGGTCTTTCCTAGCATCCCATGCAGCAAGGAAGAATGATAAATGGATCCAGAGAGCCAGAGTCCTAGTTCTTCTATAGCTCAGCTATGAAGTTTACAACAAACAAGCAAACACAAAGCCCTCTGGCTCTTCACACCTCTATTTTGCCGACTACTAGAGAGGCATTTTATGATTCTAGATCAGAAGATTGTGTTAAATATGGAAAGGTCACTGGCAAGTCAAAGAAAATATAGTGATGTACAATATCAAATTTAACCCTAATAAATCAAATTCAGTGACCTTAAGACGACCCGAGCTCAATCATGAAGATTGCAAAGAAGCTCTATAAGGGAAAATTTTTGTTCCTAGAAAATGTTCATCTTCAGGCATTTTTGTATAGGTGATGCTTTTATGAAACAGGATTGGACAGATTTGAAGCGCCACGGCTACAGATGTTCATTGAAAATCGCTCACGTGCCTTGTTGTAGAAGATATTGGTGGCCCGTAGGATGTCTGACTTGCCTGCAGCATTGAGTAGCTCATAGCCTAGAAACAAAAGGAGTGTCCTACCAAAGAGTTCTTATAAATGGCCATGAAAATGCCATTCGTATGTGCAAACTGATATGTGAGTTTAAAATAATTAAATATTGTCCTTATTTGGTGGTGCTGGGTGTTATGCCAGAATGATTTCATAAAAGAGCTCACAACATTTGAGACAGATTTTTAAAGTTGGAAGAAGGAATTTATGTGGTTTCTTAGTTACTGTGATATTGCTGTGAAGACACACCATGACCAAGGCAACTTATGCAGGAAGGCATTTCTTTGGGGCTTACAGAGAGTTAGTTTATGGTCGTCATGGTAAGGAGCATGGCATCTGGCCAGAGCATGGTGCTGGAGATGTACCCTAATCCACAGGCATAGGAAGTGAGAGAGCAGGATTGGGCCTGCTGTGGGCTTTTGAAACCTCAAAGCCCATCCCCAGTGGCACACCTTGCCCATCAAGGCCACACTTCCTAATCTTTCCCAAACAGTTCTGCTAACTGGGGAACAAGCATTCAAACATGATCCTGTGGGGACCATTCTCATTCAAACCAGCACATGTGGTGATGAGACATGAAATCATTTAAGGAAGTATCTTAGTTAGGGTTTCTATTGCTTCCCTGATCAAAAGCAACTTGGGGAGCAAAGGATTTATTTCATGCACACGTCCAAATCTCAGTTTATCACTGATGAGCATGAGAGCAGGAACTGAAACAATGCTGGAGGGTCTAGAGGCCGGAGGCCACGGAGGATGCTCCTTAAGGGTTTGCTGTCTATGACTTGTGAAGTCTGCTTTCCTTTGCATATCACCCAACACCACCATCCCAGGGGGTGTAGCACCCACGATGGACTGGGCCCTCCCATGTCATTCACTAATGAAGAAGATGCTCCATAAGCTTGTCTGTATCCCAGGCTTATTGAGACATTTTCTCAGTTGAGATTCCCTCCTCTCAAATGGCTCCAACCTATGACAAGTTGGCATAAACTATCCATAATATCAAGAGAAAATAATATAATATGCAAAATCAGGAAGGCGCGTAACAATCGTTTGACTTTCTTTGGGGCGTCCCCTGGAGAAACATCTTCAGAAGGAAACTGTAGGAAAATCCACAGCAAATGGCTGAAATTACCTTTCCTAGTGGTCACTGTAGAAACGTTTTAGTAAGTTATCCCAGAGTGGCCAGGTGGTGCAGATGGTTTTCAACATACAAACAGGCAAAAAAAACTTTATACGGTGTTGTCAAACTAACAGAGAGACTAGATCATTCTGATACCTGAGTGGAAATGCCCACTTCTTCAACTGTTGTTCACAGTCCTCAGAGTTGAAATGCTTACAGAAAATGGAGAAACCACTACTGACGTGGTGGTCAGAGGTGGAGCTTTCTGTCGAATGTGGGATATATCTAGGAGCCTATCCAAAGGCTATACACCATTCTAGTAGAGGAGACACCTTCCGGAGGAAGACCTGGCTCCAGCGATTGTTATGACAAAAGGCTGGATGTATGCCCTTGAAGGAAGTGTGGCACCATTCGGAGTCTCAGGTTGCTACTTCAAAAACGAGGCTAGAGATCTTGACTTAGTGAAATGATTGGAATAATTCATATTGATATACCTAAGGAAGCTGGCATTATTCCTATTCCAAACTCACTAAACATAAACTAGTGATTTTTGTTTCTCATTATTGTTGCCTATAAATAATGCCTCTGTTCCTTGCTATAAAGAGAATTGTTTTTTTATTCATCTATTTTTTTTTTACATCATGGCTGCAGTCACTTCCCATCCTCCCCTACCAGTCCCTCTTCCCCATTTTCCCTCTCTTGCTCCTCAGTCCCCTCCTCTTCCATCTCCATTCAGGAAAGGGCAGGTCTCCTATGAGTATCAATAAAACTTGGCATATGAAGTTGCAGTAAGACTATGCAAGCGCCTCCCCATGTATTAAGGCTAGGCAGTGACCCAGTATGAGAAATAGGATCCCCAAACCCAGTAAAAGAATCAGAGATAGCCATTGTTCCTGCTGTTAGGAGTCCCACTGAAGACCAAGCCAAACAAGGGTAACATGTGCAGAGAGCCTAGGTCAGTCTTATGCAGGTTCGTTGGTTTCTGTTCATTTTCTTCAAGTCTCTATGAACCCAGGCTAGTTGATTTGCTAGCCTTCCCATGGTGTTCGTGACCCCTCTGACTCCTACACTCCTTTCCCCTCCTCCCTCGTAGGATTCCCAAACTCCACCTAATGCTTGGCTGTGGGTCTTCGTATCTGCCTACACCTTACAGAGAATTGTTATTCTTGTTGGTCCTCCTTTCCAATCTCTGTCTTCTTCATTTGAAGGTTACAGGGAATACAATTGCAGTATGTGTCTGATGACTTGGTAGTAGGCTTTTCCCCCTGGAATGCCCAAGGAAAAGCCATGTTCTCTACAATGAATCACTCCCAGAACAGGCTTCATAGCAGACATCCATCATGTCTAATGTCCTGCAGCCTTGTACTGACTTTTACTGGCACCCACATCAGAGGAGATCGTCTCCTAAACTGGTTCCCAAAGCCCCAGCCAGCCTATTTGTAAACTAAGTGGACTCATATTGTTAAATTATCCCATTTGTTTTTCCTGATGAATCATATTCTGGTTTATTTTGTAGCTGGCTTAATTACTAAACATTCACATAAGGATGTTTGGTTATCCATGGCTTGAAGCAGTACTTCTCAGACTGCCAGCCCCCAAATCATGACATGCAGACTTAATATTAGTTATGAATGCTCAGTCTTATCTTATGCTTGTCCCATTAGTTTTTATAACTTAGTTGACCCTGTTTCTCTTCATCTACATTGTGCCTTGGGGTTTTTTATCTTTCTTTCATTCTGTATGCCCTACTTTTCCTGCTTTCTCTTTGGCTGACTGGCTACTGCCTGGTTGCCTGGCCCCAGGCATCTCTTTCTCTTTCTCCCTCTTTCTCTCCTCTTCTACCCTGAGCCCTAGATTCTTCCTCCTACTTATTCTTTTTGCCCTCCAGCCCCACCTGTCCCTCTACTGCATCCTATTTACTGTTCAGCTTTTTATTAGATCAACCAGGTGCAAAGCAACACAATTTTACATTGTTAAACAAATGTAACACATCCTTATGTAGCTAAAGCAATATTCCACAGCAATGGCTTATATTCTTAAGTGCAAATAAATTGACCTATCAATTTGAATTTTTCCAGTCTTTAAGTTTCTACTGGTATTTACTTAAAATATACTCTTAAAAACCCCTCTTTAAAAGGGTATGGTTGATATGACATACTTGGGCTTTAAGGTCTAAAGGAGAGTGATTACTTAAGCTGTATTTTCTAAGAAAACTTTGTGGCATAGACGCACAAGAAGTGGTTGTATTACTTTATTAGAACTTTATTGTTTGAGATATATTCTCTCTAAATATCCTAAAATGACCTCAGATTACAATTTTCCTGCTGTAGCCCTGAATGCAGAGATTCAAAACAGACTCAGCTATGTGAAACTAAACAGAAAGTTTTAAAAGGTTTCTCTCATTTCCCTCATTTTCTTGCCATCTTGACCTTCTTTCCCATCACCAAACTTGAGCTTCTTCTATGATGTGTAGAACACAAACCTCTGTAGGTCAGCCCATGTGCAAAAGGCATGTATTCATAGCTGTCTTGGCACTATATTGATTGTTTTTAACAACTGAAATAAGCCAATATGGACCACATCTACAAGAACTCCATTCTTAGAAAATCAAGGTGGGTGAAAATATGCAAACTGTGTGTAGAAATACAAAAAGTAATCCCAATCCAAACCCATTCCAGTGTGGAGAATGTGTTTCTGTTGGTACATTTGCATCGTTCAGAGTGAAACCAGAGTGGGCTGGAGGCCAACAGACGAGGAAGCACAAGACAACTTTGGTGAGAAGCACATAGAGCCACTGCTGCCAGAGAAGCAGATACCAAAGACTGGGGCTTTGCTGGGAGCTCTGATTGTATGCATTGCACATAAAGAGTCTAGGATATAAACTTCAATGGTCAAATATCCAATGTCCAGAGAGGAGTTTTGCTTATTTGTTTGTATTTTATTTAGGCAATATCTTCATATTCCAACTTCAGATTCCCTAAAGAGTCTATTGTGTTTAGGTTTGCCTCAAATTTAAAATCCATCTGCCAGTGCTCCTGATTTTTAGGATTGTACACATATGCCACCTTGTCCAGCTAAATAGAATTTTAAGCCTTTGAAATACAAC